TGTCTGAAAATTTGTACACTTATTATTCACCATATGAAGGTGTGCACCTGGTATTTTCATTATGATTGGATAATTATTTTGCATTTTACAGGTGTTTTTTTCATTTTTATTATGTGGTTTTGTCTGGATCTGTTCCCAGAGACTATTGCATAGATTTGTATGAAAATTTGTACACTTATTATTTACCATATGAAGATGTGCACCTGGTATTTTCAACATTATTTGATAATTTTTCTGCATTTTACAGGTGTTTTTTTTTTTTATTTTTATTGACTTAGTCATTTCGGGTTCATGTCTAAGGTTTGAGACATAGAATCTAGAACATCTGTACAAAAATGTGAACTACAGCTTAAAACTACTCATTAGAGCTAAAAAAAACACAAAGTATTAAAAACAGTTTTTACATTACACAGCAGATAGTGTAAATCCATTTGTCCCTTGGGAGTAATGAGTGGACATGCATCCAGTTAAAGATTAATTAATGAGTTCAGTGTGGGAAGCTGTTAGGGCATCTCTGATCAAGCAGGTCTTATCTATATCTCAGGGGAATTGGGCAGAAAGAAATAAAGATCTCTGTGGTTTAAGTCTCTTAATTGTAATTTATGTCTGTCAAAATACATAGTTGCTAAAACCAGCCTTTTATTTTTAAAATGAGTTTGATATAAAGGTATTAAAATCAATTTGATTTTCTATAATTAATTATGATATTTTTTTTTCAACAATCAATTTGCTGTGTGTCATGTCTCACAAAGGTGGCAGACAGTTGCAAACTATTTTTTCAATGTAATAAAAAACACTGTAATTATTAGTGTGGATGTTTTATTAGGCTGCACCTTAGTTTCATTCATTTAATAAAGTGCCCCACCACAGCATGATACGCCCATCAAATATTGTTAAATTATCATAAACAGTTTAGATTCAATTGTTTGAATGACATCTTAGCGAGACAAGGCAGTCTGCAATTTGTTGTAAAGATATAAAAATTCAAATAAAAAATGTACAATAAATAATTAGTTTAAATTATATTATACAATATGATATAAGTTTTAATTATTATATACAATATCAAATTAGTTTTAATTGCATCAAATTTATCTTGAAAGTAAGACTAGCCAACAAGAACAATTCAATACAACAAAAGCAATTAATTAAGAGACTGATTCCTTTTGCCCATTTCCCAAGAGATGTAGATAACACCTGCTTGATCAGAGATGCGCTGCCAGTTATCTCCTCACACTAAACTCATTAATTTATCTCTAATTTGACATGCAATTTTCTGCTATCAAAATTTTCCTTGACCAGTGCCTGATCATTACACCCATGGGAGAGGTGGAATTTTTGTTGTTACAGATTGCTGTAAAGAACATAATGAAAAAAATAAGACTAGTATTTTCTTGATATAACACTTTTTTAATAAAGATACTGCAATACTCTGACATCTTTTGGGATTGTGTAATTTAAAAGTTAAAAGACATAGTTTTTTGATTCTAAGTCTAATGGTTTTCTAGTTATGATTTTTCCATATTTGGCCATAGCGTCTTTATTAAAGGTCAGAACGACATGGTTTTAATGTGCGACACACCTTCTACCCTAGATGTATCAGCTGACAAAGTTTGATAATTCTAGGCATAATAGTATTAAAGTTATGAGCCGGACATGAAAAAGCTAACGGACGGACAAACATGAACGCTATACAGTCCCTGAAACGTTCTACTTTCCCATTTTTCCGTTCGCTCACCGTTCGTTCAGCGTGCGTTCACCGTTCGTTCACCGTGCGTTCACCGTTCGCTCTCCGTTCACAGTTTTGCGTTCACCGTTCACCGTGCGCTCGCGTTCACCGTTCACAAAGCGTTCAGCGTTCGCTCTTCGTTCGTTCACTTTGCGTTCACCTTGCGTTCAGCGTTCACTTATCGTTCAGTCTTCAGTGTCATTCGGAACTCCGAAGTGAAAAGACTTATCTTTTTTAAGTAAGGATTTACGGTTTTTTTAATTTAATAATTTACATATCGTGTTTAAAGAATCATTATTTCATGGGGAAAAAATTATCCACAATATTCTAACTTGTTATTATTTTACTATTCTAACTTAGATGTAAGGTTATTTATTAATTTACTCTGGAAAATAAATGTTGTTATAAGTATGTACCAAAGTAGAACGATGCTGAAAAATTAAATTTAAACACGGGCAATATACAGATACCTCAAGCACTGCAACATTTTATTGTTATGTTAGACCACAAATCGTTAATAGAGAGATAATTATCCAAGTCAAATAATTACGCAGCAAAATTACGAAAATATTTATTTCTAACATATTTCTAACACGTTTTTTTTTCAATTACTACAGAAATATATTATAGAACTAGTTCTGAGAGTTATACATAGTACTGCGGATGTCCTGTTAATTTATTACCTTTGGAGCGAATTGAATTGATTATGTGGTTAAAGGAAATATTTATTTAAAATGTAATACACTACAGAATTTTCTCTACTATAATATATAAAGTCTATAGCTATAGAAAAAATTCTTCCTTTACAATAACTTTGATATGTTTGCCATTCGATATGATTAATAGCAGCCCCCCTTTTTCCCCCTAAATCGGTTACTTATTCAGTATTTCCAGTTTATTTTAATTAACATTTAAAAAGAAGTTAATGTGTTTTGTAGCACAAAACTTTCAGTCTCAAAACAAACATGCATCTAAAAAAGTCACTAAACAATTGTAGTTCAAAATGTACATGTGTCGGCGGTGGTATTTTAAATTGGCAGAGAGTATGTTTCAAATTCAAGAGTTAATGCCCAATGTATTTTATTTATTTATTTATTATTGAAATGTTGGAATCAAATCTAGAAATGATAAAAATAAATGTTAAAACTTGTTGGAAATACTCGCACTTCGTCTTCAGTGTGACGAGACTTTCACACCTGCACAGTATCGAATGATTTTGATTGACAGGACAAGCACGTGGACTTCGTGTGAACTTGAGGCAGGAAAATAAAAACGAGTATGACTGTCAAATAGATGGATTAAAATTTTGTTGATTTAAAAAAGGTTACTTTAAACTGTCTGATACATTTAGAAAAATAATTAAGAATTTTTGTTTGATATAGGTACAAACATTTCGTGAAGCCTGAAAGTGGGGGGGGGGGGAATTTCTCTCTCTCTCTCTCTCTCATTTGTCTGTTTAATAAAAAAAAATTGACAGCATATTACTTAAATATCAATTTCTAAAAATTTAATTTATAGCAAATAATATGAATATGCCTCTTCGTATTATCTTGTCCGAGTATGATCACGGGGAAATATCTACAGGTACATGTAGAAGTCTGCTCAATAAATCATCATGGAAAATAGAAATGACACATCAATATATATTATTACACTAAAAATTTAAATACGAGCGTATTTATACAATACGTCCACTGACCTTTGTAATTATTTTTTTTTTTCATTATTTTACACGAAATCGCCTTGGCACGGGAATATATGAATGGCCGTTACAACCGTTTTAATTCATTCTATAAGTCAGAAGTTTTCTCTTATTTGGAATGGTTTTTTAATTTCAAATAAGAATAAACATATTTATTTTCCAACTAAAATAATTTTATCTTTTATACTACAGCGTTTGGCAACAATTGCAATGTTTTACAGCGATAAAAATCGTGTGATTAAAAACTTAAAGTGCATGCATCGTCTTTCTTAGGATAATTTTGGAGCATTTATTTAATTTATTTATTCATTTATTGATTTGTTTATTTATTATTTTTTTGGCACCTGACATTAGAATGCAATAAAATAGTTTCAATGCAAGGAAAAGATCAGAGGCATTCCGAATAAATCGTTCATCTTGCGTTCACCGTTCGTTCACCGTTCACTTTGCGTTCGCGTTTGCGCTCCGTTCGCATTCTGCGTTCGCTCACCATTCAGCGTTCACACATTGTTCACCAAGTTGCGTTCAGCGTTCACACATCGTTCACTCACCGTTCGTTCAGCGTTCGTTCACCGTTCGTTCAGCGTTCGCTCACCGTTCAAGTGGGAAAGTAGAACGTTTCAGGGACTGTAACATAATACGTCCCGTCGTAAGACGGACGTATAAAAATATATAATGAGTAATTAAATTTTCACTGTAAATGTTTAAGGAAATTGTGAACACCTCTCACATCTAGAAAACATTAGTGATTTGGTACTTTCTCTGAAAAACCCAGCGGGGGGTATTTGTCCCTTTTGGACAGTTCTAGTTTATTATTACCTTATTTTGAATGCCACCAAAATTAAAAACATGATTTTTTTGGGATAATTCATTAATGTAATTCTTAAAGCCTCTATTTGACAATTTAAGTGCTGATGAGATTCGTATAGCGCGGCTCCATGGAAGTGAGTTAAATACAGAATACTTTAAGAAGCATGGTTTTAATGTTCAGATCATCGTGGAGAAGAAGGACGGATTAGGACTGGTTGTTCCCCCTGCTCAGTTTTCCATACAGGACGTGGAGAATAATGTTGGTAAGTCAACACTGAAAAACTATATATTGTGTAAGTATGTAGGCTTAAATTATCATAAAAGAATATTATAACATATTCCAGTTTGTACATCATTGGATAAACTATTGTTACTTAGTAGGAGTGTAACAGTATACCAGTATAAAGCTATAATGCAAAACACAAAAGAATTGTACCCTATAGTGATACAAAAACCATATGCTTTTAGGGCTCTTGATTCTCTATAATTGGGGCCGTTGAACGGCCCCTTTTCTAATGCAGAAAAGGTACCCTTTTTTCCCAGAAGCAAAGTGTAAATTTCCCAATTTTCTACAACAAAATATTTTTTTTAAAAATCTTAATCAATGACACTTAATCACCAACAAGTGAAAGTGAAATGAACTAGTTCTGTGTATGACTGTATTAATTAGTTCATGCCACCTATATTCGTAAACTGGTTCAGCTTCAGTAAAGAACCAGATTTTCCATATTTATCAATGATTTGTTTTTTTAGGCTGAATGAGAGAGATAGATGTTATAGATGTATCAAAGCAGGAGGATTATGAAATGTTGATGAGGGAATGGACGGAGTATTATAACAGTCCAAGTCATCAGTCTGGAGTTCTCCAATACAAAGTAAGTCACAAAGTAGACAACGTCATCAGTCTGGAGTTCTCCAATACAAAGTAAGTTATAATGTGTACAACGTCATCAGTCTGGAGTTCTCCAATACAAAGTATGTCACACAGTGTACAACGTCATCAGTCTGGAGTTCTCCAATACAAAGTAAACTAATTATTATGTTATAGTCTAGAGTTCTCCAATACAAAGTAAATTACCTACTGTTAAACTTGTCGAATTCAGACACCTCTGGTTCCCTAGAAACTTGATAGATTAGACAACATTCCAGATTAGAAAACATTTTGCACAATAGAATTGACTGATAAGACTATGAGTTGTCATTGTATTAGGGAAGATTGTGGAATGCACAGCATCTGGATTAGACAAGTTTTACTGTATTATAAAGTCACCCTTAAGTTCTTAAGAAGTAGAAAGACAGTTTCTTATAATGTAAATAATAATTTAAAAGCTAGGACATTTCTGTACAAAATAAGATGAAGAACTTGTACACGTAGAATGATGTACTGGCTTGAAGCCTCTAGAAACTTATTTGAAGCATAGTTACAGTTCTCCAGGACACTCTAGCAGTGAAAAATTTGGGCTTTATAAAAAAGTTAAGCTTGGTAATTTCACCTTATTTCATAAATGTGATGCAAGTTAGTTTCACACACTTTGTTAGAGCTTTTTAACTACATTAATTTTCTGAGATGTTGATCATTCAAAAATTGTTCTGAGTCCTTTATAACTCATGTTTTTGCAGGATTTTACAGCTTGTTTTCTCAATCTTTACTTCTCAACCTATTCATTGTTCACTTCCTTGAAAACTGTTAATCTTGTGTTACTTCATTCCAGTGATCCTCCCTGTCAATGTTCTATATTCCAATCCCCCCCCCCTTTATCAATGTTCTACACCCCCTTTGTGATAATTTTCCTTTATAACAATCTTTATTACAGGATGTCCGAGCTGGTCTTCCCTTCCTCCATTGTCCGCAACTTGAGTTGGGTCAGTAATTATTTCCCTGAGCAGCTGCCTGATGACTGCACATACACACGACCTGAAGTCCAGAAGTATTGTCTGATGGGGGTGAGGGACAGCTTCACAGATTTTCACATTGACTTCAGGGGGACGTCGGTCTGGTATCATATTCTGAGGGTAAGAAAGGAAAATGTGTCTGTGGTGAAAGTTCTGAGGTGAAAGTCCAAAAAAAACTTGAATGTACAAAATTATAATCATGCACAAAATTATAACTGCATGTAGATTCACAACGAATAATCAATTGTTATGGGGTGTACATGTACTTGTCACAAAACAGGGCTAGAAATAATTATTTTTATTTACTGGTCACTCGGGTTATCACCTTAAATTTTTACTGGTCAGCTTAGTACTTTCACTGTCCCACTGGGCCAGTATATTTTCAAAAGACTGGCCCAAAACCATAAGAATAATAGTAATATTTTCTTTTATATTGTGATACTTAAGTACATTTAACTTAACAAAACAAGAAACAGCAGAAGTTGGAACATACAACCCTGTCAAGTTAACTAGCTTGACTGTGAATGAATTTTATTTTGCATAAAAAAATGCTGACCCAAAGGGCACATGCCCTCTGCAATCTACTAGCCCAGATTGAAAATTCACTGGCCTCAGACCAGCAGGCCATCAATTATTTCAAACCCTGCAGAATTGTTAACTTAAATTGTATATATAGACTATATAAATTTGAAATCACGGTTTTCAGGCCCGTGTGCATCCATTTTGAGGTATTTGCATTCCAAATTTTATCGTATTTTTGATAAAATAAGAAGTTGGTAATGCTGAGACCAATCCGGAAATAAAAGTTCCGCCCTCATTTTCTCGTAGTTAGTACTTGAATATCGCATCCGGTAGCCATTTTCAAAGAAAACCTGGCTACTTCTTTTAAAAATACACTTGAAGATAATGCTTAGGATGTTCACACGTTGATAAGCAATGGATATTGCAATCCTATTGATCAGACATGGAAAGTATATCATGAACAAAGAATTTTTTTCATAATTGTATAGAAAATTCGGGTAATAAAAAAATAATCCCCCCCCCCCATCTACTTTATCGTCAATAAAATGATAAAAAAAAAAAAAGGCCTCCCGCCCGCGTCTGTTTTGGAGAAAATTGGCCTGAGAACCAGAAAATTAAATTTATGAAGCCTTAGTCCTATGAAAATTATATGACTATTCTTGTGGAGCATTTTGATATTAAAACACACACTTATCTTAGAATGATTTTTTTTCAGATGTGTATGTAAATGAGTCAATTTATTGCAGGGTGAAAAAATTTTCTACCTAGTTCGGCCCACACAAGCCAATCTATCATTATACAAGTCTTGGGTGTCGTCATCCAATCAGAGTGAGACATTTTTTGGAGACCAGGTTGATGTATGTTATAAATGCGTCATCAAGCAGGGGCAGACCCTCTTTATCCCTACTGGTTGGATCCACGCTGTGTTCACGCCGATCGACTCCCTCGTGTTTGGCGGGAATTTCCTCCATGATTTCAACATTTCACTACAGCTTCAGTAAGAATTTCTTATTACTTTATAAAAAATTAAAACTTGATTTAGTTAGCAGGCTTTATAAATGTATTTCAAGTCATAAGAACATTTTCACAGATAGTTTAGAACTTTCAACATTTTGATAGTTGATTAAGCTTCAATTCACCAAAAAAATTCTTTAAAATCTTTAACTTTTCCAATGTTTACTCTTATATGAAATAAACAGAGGACGGGACAGGTCAACAGGTTGGTAAACATGTAGAACAGCCATATATTTACATTTAAATGTTTTCCCTTATATAACACTAAGCAAGGCATATTTAATTCTGTGTAAAAACAGGTTTGTCTTGTGTCCTTTAATTCATTGTTCAGTCATAGTTGAACCGTTTACTTTATGAAAAAGATCATAAAGATAAAAAGAAGATAAAAGTCCCACCTATGAGGTTTTTTGAGGTCCCTGTTTGCTCTGCTCCCGATTTGTATTGTTTTTATTGGACTTTTGAGCTTGAATACTGTTTGTTATCTCCGCATTTCATAATCGATTGACATAATTGCACAGTGATGTCATGAATGGTGGACGAGTTCAATACATTCAATTTATACTGTTGAGGTTTGAAAAATTAAATTATTTTATGAGTTTAAAACTTAAATACATAATATGTGTTGTAAATCAGTCTCAAATGTAAATATAAGTAATAAAGTATCATTTTAAAACTTTTATGAGAATGTAAATACGGGTTGGCATGTGATCAAATCTACCATAAAGACCTTCGGGCTTTATGGGATTTGATCAATTGACCAACCCATATTTACATCCTGATAAAAGTTTTAAATGTTACTTTATTTCTGAAGTAACCACCCAATTAAAATCTAAACTATTGAAAAGATTGTTATTTTGAGTTTGAGTCTCTTAGCATCATTTTCATCAGATTTGGTGCTTATATTTTCAATGTATTCTTCAAACTTTTCAGTTGATCCCCTGATAATTTTTGTTTTGCCTGTTTTTATGCCCCTGGATCAAAAGATCCCAGGGGTATATTGTTTTTGTCCTGTCTGTCTGTCTGTTGTCAACTTTAACCTTGCCCATAACTTTTGATTGGTTGGAGCTATGACTTTCGTATTTCACCTGCATATTCCTTGTGACAAGACCTTTCTTTGGGTACTCTCATATTTGACCTTTTGACCTTGACCTTAGAGTTGACCCACTTTTGCAAAATTTTATGAGATTTTAACCTTGGCCATAATTTCTGAGCAGTTGGTGCTTGGGGTTTCAAACTTCACATGTGTATTCTTTTCTTTGTGACAAGGCCTTCCTTTGGATACGAAGAACTTTGACCTTTTGACTTTGACCTTGGAGGTTGACCTACTTTTGGAAAACTTTAATCTTGGCCATAATTTTTGAACAGTTGGAGCTTGGGGTTTCAAACTTCACATGTGTATTCCTTGTGACAAGACCTTCCTCTGGATATCAACCTTTTTTGACTCTTTTTACCTTGACCTAGGAGTTTGACTTACTTTTGAAAAATTTTAACCTTGGCCATAACTTTTGAACGGTTGATGCTAAGGCTTTCATACTTCACATATGTAATCCTTGTGACATTACCTTCCTTTGGATACCAACCACTTTGACCCTTTGACCTTGACATAGGAGTTTGACCTACTCTTGGAAAACTTTAACCTTGGCCATAACTTTTGAATGGTTGGTGCTAGGGCTTTCATACTTCACATATGTAATCCTTGTGACAAGACCTTCCTTTGGATACCAACCACTTTGACCCTTTGACCTTGACATAGGAGTTTGACCTACTCTTGAAAAACTTTAACCTTGGCCATAACTTTTGAATGGTTGGTGCTAGGGCTTTCATACTTCACATATGTAATCCTTGTGACAAGACCTTCCTTTGGATACCAACAAATTTGACCTTGACCTTGACATTTTACTTACTTTTAAAAAACTTTAACCTTTGCCATAACTTTCGAACAGTTGCAGCTAGGGCTTTCAAATTTTACAGGTATATTCCTCGAGGCAAGACCTTTCTTTGGGTACCAACATTTTTTTATCTTTTGGCCTGGATTTTGACTTGCATTTGAGAAACTTTAACCTTCGCTATAAGCTGCCATACGGGGGCATCAAGTGTTTCACAAACACATTTTGTTATTTTTTCCTGAAGGCTTTGTACAGTGTGTGTTTTTTATTTCTCAGGGTTTATGACATAGAGAGGAGAATCAAGACCCCATCCAAATATTTATTTCCTAGTTTTGAGACTACCCACTGGTATGCTGCCAAATATGTCCTGGATGCCATCAAAGGTAACAGTGATTTATATAATAAAAACTTGTGTTAACAAACTGGTATTCATCTTGTTATAAACCATTTAATAATGTGTTTAATATGCAGAATGTTTCCTCAGTTACTGAAATTAATAATTGCGGATGCTCTTCAAACTGATGCATGGTGAATGAAAGTAAATAACAATTGGCTTACAGTTTCCAATAGATTGTAACAGACATGCAGATCTTGACCACAGAAATTGAAATTTGTCATCCTTTTGAGAACAAATTTTCAGAATCCCTTCTTTTTTCTGACAGATTACACTTAGGATTGCAGGCGACCCCCGGAATATTTACTGATGGGGGCCAAGTCTCTGGCCATGCACCTGAAGTCTTGGACACAGCAGAAAGATGTAAGTTGTGAAAAAGGTCATGGTCAACTCTCGCTAGAAAACTCTAATAATAATTATAATTAATTGGTGTATGGGCAATGGATCACTATATACTCTAGGTTATGTTGTTGGTAATATATAATGGGCAGAAAATTTGAAAGTGGTGTTATCATTAGGTGTTTCTCAAAGTGGTGTTATCATTAGGTGTTTCTCAGAGTGTTGAAATTGTCCTTATTCATCTTTAGATGTTTATCAATGAACCATTATAGGAAATACACATTTACCTTTGTATGGCTCCACTTTAGTACTTGCCCACTATTTTTTCTGATAAATGACCCACTATTTGACTGATGTAAACCCAACTCCTTAAATTGATACCTGCTTCACTTGTTCTTTTTTTTAGGATATGCTCGTACAAGTATGTCCCACTATTTTGCTATTACATGTCCCAGTATTTTCTGATGTGCATTTTATTCCCCATGGTTTTACTGATGTATGCCACATTATTATACAAGGTTGAATTCTTTTGATATTTTTTGTAGAACTGAAGTGTTTATTTATGAGAGGAAAACTTGGTGAAAAAGACAGATTTCTGTCAATACTCAGTTTTTTATGAATTCAGGTGCAATGAAATTAATGAAGAAAAGTTGTTCAAGTTCACAAACATTTTTTTAGCAGTAGGACATACATGTACTGTCTTAAGCAGGTTACCCAAAAGGGTCAGACCACCTTAAGCATGCCAACAGCATCTCTGGCTGTTTCTGTACTGTCCTGTTACATAATAGAAATGTACAGTACTCTGCAATATTCCAACTCCACAGATCCCTTGGCTTATAGATCTATAATACCTAGAATCTACCACCTGTATATCTCGTGTAATTGAGATCTGTAAAATAGAGAGTCCGTCTGTACTTTGAGTAATGAAATCTGTGATATTTGCCTTCCTTTTTACAGTTAAACAACTCCTATCTGGTGATTGACCTTTTATAAGTAGGCTGCTTGTGTTATCCTGTATTATCCCGTGTCTTTTGTACAGCTTTTGATATCTTTCCAGATTTTGTATCTTTTTTTTTTTATATCAACTGTTCACAGCTCTGCTTCTTCAATGGGCTGGTTTTGATTTTTTTAATACCTTTTATTTACAATTTTTTCTTTGTGTTTACCTTTTCTTAGAACTTTTTTAAAAAGTTATTAATTGATGTTACATGTATAGACTTTATAATACTCCTGACCTAAGTAAAATTTGAAGCCCCTGAAAAAGTAATCTCTTTGTCTGTTGGGGACCATTTATCTTGATGGTGTGAATGAGGCTTACAGACAGGTTTATACATGAAACAAGATATTTGACTGAAAATTTCATTAAATACATGTACATATGCCTGAAAAAGGGTCTTACATGTGTACAATAATTCAAATGAAAAAAAAAGGTTGATGAGGGTAAGGGGTTAGTGTTCAAATAAATGACCAGGAATACAGTGAAGTAGTAATTGTGTGTGTGATCACCAACATAAAGGGCACCTGTTTGCTGTATTTTATTGTAATCTGTTAATTTTAAACCGGAAACTTAGATATTGTCAATGATTAATGCATGATGCATGATGGCCATATTTATGTTTAATATTCAATATTTAAAATATACCAAATCATATTTTCAAAACTATAATTGAAACTTGAATTCATTTTGTTAAGGAAAAAGTACCAGTGAACTTTCTTTACAACAGAATAAAGCAATTTAAAAACACACTTGCAACTGTATGTTACATTACAGTCAAACTTGTCATAGCGGTCACCTTTATCCAGCGGTCACCTGTCCTATGCGTTCATTTTATTTCCTCCCAATGAATTTTCCTATATATTGTAACTCTATTAAGCGGTCACCTGCGTAACGCGGTCAGCGGTCATCAAATTACATGTAAAATCGCCGTTTTATCTCGTATATAGCGGCCATTTTAACCGATCACGTGACCAGATCTAAGTCAGGTGACTCTCAATTTTCGTCACTAATATAAATAATTGGTCTTGTGTAGCGAGATCATGAAAAAAATAATTGGCCTTATTAATTGGATAATTTGTTTATTTAACAAAACTGAACAAGGGTGTCAGTGACCGAAAAGGCTATCGGGAAAACGGACTTACGAGAATCTTAATCTTATTGAATTGGAATCTGGTTAAAATATTCTGAATGATACACAAGGCATCCTTATATTTTATCTATTAATGGATACAATAATTAGGTGTTTCCTGATTATTAGTTCACGTTTGGCATGCCCAACTCCGATAGGTGTAATTGCATAAATGCATGACAGGCCGTTTTTAACACATTGGAAACGTATTATTTGTAGAAACCCTATTTTTTTTTTGTTTATTCAATGTGTCCTGATTATCTTGTGATTTTCAACTAGGTAAGACGACAGTTAGAGGATTAGTCACGCTTCATTGGTCACAACACCTGGGAATTTGATATCAATTTGTATTATGCACTGCTTTGATAAACGGAGAATATTATGACTTGTCTGTTTATTACGCTACTAAGTATTTAAGTATTATTAAACATACAGTTATCAGGACTAACTAAACTTGTTTTTAGAGGCAGTTTAGATTAAAAAAAAATACATCATATTTTATTCAAGGTACAACATGATAATGTAATCTTATAATAAAAAAAAGTTTTGTTGTTGTTTGGAGGGAGGATAATCCAGTGCCCTATTAGACTCAATATATATTTTTGTTGGAGTCATCAAATTTATCTTGAACTTAATCTTGAGACTATTTAAATTTAAAAAAAATCTAACTGAGACCATTGATTCCAAAACACATCTTTCTTTAATATTCCATGATGTAGTATTTCAAAACACAGAACTTACATAAACTTATTGGAAAAGAATTTTTCTTGAAAAAAGATGAACCTCTTTTCAAAGGTCACCTCTCTATAAAGGTCACTTTTAATGGTTCCCACAGGTGACTGCTTAATACAGGTTTGACTGTATGTCTCAAAATCTTTCCTGGAAGATAAAGTTTAATGATTTAACGAAGAAGAAAAACAATGAACACAATAAATTACCAGGTTTTCAGTGGTTTGGTTGAAGGTGTTATAACACCAGTCCTTTATTACTTATAGTCCAAGTCACAACTAATTTACCCCCTGCATGAAACAGACAAATGTTTGGCTAGTTGGTTGCTTTGTATTCTGCTTATAAATTGAATGTTCTTTTTTATATGTATACTGAATCTGACACTGAAGAAACAAGATAATTATATATTTGTTCTTGTTTGTTTTGTTTTTTTTTTCAATTACATGTAGTAAATAACAAAATATAGAATGTTACTTCCGTTTTGTTTCAAGTCAGACTTTTTAATCATTATAATGGTAATATGGTGTACAGAACATTTTAAATTTTGAATGGTTTTTGACATAAGAACTTACCTCTTTCACATGTGATATTCATATCATTTTTCAGAACTTTGCAAATATTTTTGCAAAAATGTATAGCTTATTCACATTATGTGTAAAGAAATAGATATGGGAAGGTGATTTGTGTTTAAAGGTATTGTTTATAATTGATACCCTAAAAGCCCTAAAATGTTCATTGATAAAAAGCTATGGAGCTTTTGTCAAAAATCAGCTGACTTGTAAATTTCTTTTGATAGTTTACTACACACTTTTTCAACTAACTTTGACACAGTGAAATATAGATTGACTTCCCTAGTGCTTTTAACAATTACTGCTTCTATAGAGAATCATAAATATGTAATCAAGAGATTGGGCGCAGGGTCAGCTGCTTCTGTAAAATTTGAGATTGAAAGTAAATATACATGTATCTTTTTTTACTTGTAGCAAGTATTTTAGATTCAGATTGATGAAACATGAGAAAAATTAATTTTATCCAAAAATAATTTCTTGTTAACTGATATCTGCAAAGATTTGAAATAACAGTACTAGTCAATGTGAGTAACCTTGCTTTATGCCAGTGTGTTGATGAAATGTGTGTTTAAATTGCCAGTTCTTAAAGAATGCCAAACATGATGTTCCTGAGCACCTGAATTACGGCTGTCTTCTTAAGGACCTGCAGAAGGAAATCTGGGCCTTCGACACTTCGGTATTTAAATATCCTTCAATGAATTGTTTTAAATGATATAAATACTCAGTTTGTGTAAAATGTGTCAAGATATTAAGGTTATGAAAATGTGACTTTGCTTGTATTAAAACATTCTCAGGCTTATTTATTTATACATGTATATTCTCTGATACATGGTGTATTTAATACCCCTTAAAATAATTTTCTTCATGTATTCTTTTTCTGGTGATTGTACTATTGGCAGATATGAATGTATAAAGGGGTGAACAATTCTGAGTAGTTTCAAGTAAAGGGAATAAATTTAAGAAGTAAATTATTTATTGAATTTTTAAGAATTACAGAGGACCTGAATTGCAATGTTTCATGGCAGAATATTTCATGAAATGCATTTTAGGGAAAATAACTGGAAAATTTATTGTAAAATTAAGTTTAATTTTTCAGCCGAAAGTTAGCCCAGTGAAACTGAAGACAAAAGGAGACAGGTTAAAGGTTGAGAAAGTACGAGGTGAGAAAAAGAAGAAAAAGAAGAACCTCCCGACAAAGAAACAGATAATGAACATTGATCTACATCAGCACACGACAGAATCTCAACAGGCCATGGACGAGGAACGCAAGTCATACTCAAATACAGTAAGTCACAAAAAAAGTCATACTCAAATACGGTAAGTCACATAAATATTGATCTACATCAGTACATGACAGAAGCTCTACAGGCCATGAATGAGGAACGCAAGTCATACTCAAATACGGTAAGTCACAGAAATAGTCATACTCAAATATGGTAGGTCACATTTAAATACATGAAGTAAAAAACACTGTCATACTCCAGTATGGTAAGTCGCAAAAACAGTCATACTCAAATACAGTAAGAAAATAAAAAACAAGTCATACTCATAAACGGTAAGTAAAAAACAGTCTTGCTCAATACGGTAAGTAAGAAAACCCAATCCTACTCAAATACGGTAAGTCACATAAACAATCTAACTGATATACGGTAAGTAAAAAAACCCAGTCATACTCAAATATGGTATGTCAAAAAACATTGGTCTTCTACATCAGCACAGGACAGAAGCTCTACAGGCCATGGAAGAGGAACGCAAGTCATTCTCAAATACGGTAAGTCACATAAATACAGTAAGTCAAAAACCAATCATACTCAAATACGGTAAGTAAAAAAACCAGTCATACTCAAATACAGTAAGTCACATAAATACAGTCATATACTCAAACACAGTAAGTTAACCAGTCATACTCAAATACCATAAGTAAAGAAACAGTCATATTGAAATACGGTAAGTCACATAAACAGTCATACTCAAATGTGGTTATAAAAACCCCCCAAATTTTTAAATACAGTAATTGTTTGAGTAAAAGAAAACAGCTTTTGCTGTAATACAGGGGGAAAAAACTTACTTATTACAAGAAGTGAAAAAACAGTCATACTCAAAACACACAAAAAAGTCACACTGTTAACAATTTAGTTCACAAAAAGATTTGCTCTCAAAGACAGTATTTTATGTTTGGATTTGCTTTGTAGGATGAGGACTCCAATCCAGCTTCATTAAAAGTAAGAATTCCTAAGGCGGGGGCATATCTAGATTCCATGACAAAAAAGGAGAAATTCCTGAAGTTAGATCCAGATATCAAACAAGAGAAGGATGATCTAGGAATAGGGCTCAAACTGAAAGTGTCTAAGGGCAAGATTATCAGGTAAGCTCAAACTGAAAGTGTCAAAGGGTAAGATTATTGGGTAAACTCAAACTGAAAGTGTCGAAGTACAAGATTATAAGGTAAGCTCAAACTGAAAGAGTCAGTTCAAAGTGAAAGTTCAAAGGGCAAGGCTATAAGGTAAACTTAAACTGAAAGTGTCAAAAGGCAAGATTTTCAGGTAAGCTCAAACTGAAAGTGTCAGAGGGCAAGATTATCAGGTAAACTCAAACTGAAAGTGTCAAAGGGCAAAATTATCAGGTAAGCTCAAGCTGAATGTGTTAGAGGGCAAGTTCATCAGTTAAGATAGAGCTGAAGGTGTCAGAGCAGTGATACTAACAATTGTGAAAAGTAACTCTGTATAAAATCATCAGTTGTTATTTACACTGTATATTCAGTGATGCTAAAGGAAGGTCTGGTCACTCAAGTCAGAGCAGGGAGAATGAGGAGAATGACAGTGACACGGACAATCTAGTGGTGGACGAGAACCCATGGAAAAACAAACGACCAATGGGATCTTCCTCCTCAGCATCCACCATGAAACCAGGCTCGCTCAAACTCAAGTTGTCTTGTAAGTATTAAACCAGGCTCACTCAAACTCAAGTTGTCTTGTAAGTATTAAACCAGACTCGATCAAACTCAATTTGTCATGTTAGTCTATTATTAAGAATCGGTTAACAAAATGTTGACTTTAAATTAGATTATTGAAGTCCCTGTAACATCAATTTATTTGTCAGTAGCTTGTCTCAGTTTAAAAATTGATCATACTCAAAGCATGCTCTGAAGTATCAAATAAGTTTGGAGACATAAACACCATATGCAGGTGATAGCAGAATATTACTACAAAAATAAGGAAAGTTGACAGTGGAAAGGCTGATGTGATCTCGTTTGTCATACAATTTAATTGTTAGTTGGCCTTTATTCGGTATAGTCGGTAAAACATCCAAATATGAAACAAATATGAAATAGATTTGGCAGACTCTTTCAAATGGAATCTTTTACTTTTATTTCGAGTTCACTAGGATGTATATCAAGTTGACATAAAAATGGAAGTAACTATTATTAATTGATAAAATGTTAGCGATATATCTCAATGTCAGGTTGAAGGCCACAACTAGTGTCTTTTCATGTAGACGTTTTTTGAATAAATTCTGCTTTAATGAGGAAACCCAGTATCTTTACTCTGAGGTTTAATATAAACCTCAGAGCACTTGTGTATAGAATCAGAGTGATTTTTTGCAAAATAATTTTGTAAATGATAAGTCACAAGATATGAAAATTCTGAGTTATATTTTTTTTTTTTGAAGAAGCAGTTGTCTTTGATATCAAAAAGTTTTCTTTTTCAGTAGTGATTGTAAGCAGGGATGGGGTAATTGATAAAAGTATTTGTAATTGAGTGTAATTAATTAGATTTTTCAAAATAATTGAAAGTAATTTGTAATTGACCATTTTTTCAATTACTTGTTATTGAATATAATTAATTACAATGAACAAAATACCCTGTAATTTCACACATTTTACAGTTATTTTAATTTATTCAAAGAAGCCCTTCTGTTTTTCAAAATCTTAAAATCTTTCATATCTCAATAAATGAATTTGATATATTGGCTTGTTTATAAAAATTTTAGTTTGTTTTATAATTATAATGCACATAAAGAACTAGTTTAATGATTATCAAACATTTTGTTATACCTCTCATTGGTATAGGCATGAAACATTTCAATTTTTTGTTGCTTGATTATCAAAAAGAATAGAAAATAATTTAATGTGTCATTAAGACCTGCTTTGTTGCCCTTCAACTCCCAGCTGTAAATTGCTATCAGAACAACCCTCCAAAATTTTATATAATTTTATACCATGCTTGGTTTAAATTCAAAGATATTACCATTAGAGGTGATTTATTAAATACTATTAAGAATGCTCTACTATTTATATACTTCAGAAAAGAAAGAAATATTGAATCACTATTTTAACATTTAAACAGATCTTTATATACATGCATGCATTTAGCTTTTGAAATAGTTGTTACATAAAAAAAGCATTATTTGTCAACATTTGCAATTTAAGGTGTTAAGCTTGCCTACCTGTAGCTGAAATAATTTGAGAGTATTTTATGGTTGATTCATAAACTCTTGAAAACTCACTTTTAATCAAATTTCATAAAGACAGTCAATTAATTGATAAATGTACATGTAGGATTAGGTCTTATGTTAATGAAACAGACAGACATGACAGGCACCTGACATTACAGTGTATTTATTTTAAATATTCCCCTACCTTAAATTTACATGTATTTGTTCTTTAAGACTTTTGAAAGTGAAACAAAAGTAATTGAAATGTATTTAATTACATTCCTCAAAGTAATTGAGAGTAATTAATTACATCTGTAAAAATCAATGTAATTGTAATTGCAAGTATTTGACAAAATTTCCAATGTATTTGAAAGTATTTAATTACATTTCAAAGTAATTGACCCCAACCCTGATTGTAAGAAGGAAAAGAGTAGACCATTGTTTATTTCGGTCATGTATTATGGCTTCTTATTGATATTGCTGTGTTATACATCTCTTACAATATACGATTTCTAACATTATCTTAAACATTGCTCTATCACAGTTGCTGGTAAGGCCCTGCCCCCCCGACAACATAATGGGACACGAGAATACCCAGGAGTCAGAGACAGCCACCAGTCAAAGTGAACCAGAGGAATCCCCAGGAATCCCCCGCGCAAACCTTCCCACAATTCAGGGCGGACTTAACTGCAGCATCTCAGATATCCTAGAGGCCAGTGGTTATGGAACAGAGACAGATTTTATTGTGGACAGTGAGTAAGTAGTGAGATAAATCTACGCTGATATACATTACTAGATTACTAAATGAGATATACATTGACAATTTTAATATTGATATCATCTCTGGTAATGTACATGTACTATATTAAATAATTGTTGAAAAAAAAATCATTTTTTAAGGAGCTCTTAAACACTACTCAATGAAGAGTTATTTTATGCAGTTATTTACTCTTTGGTGTAAATTGGAATAAATGAAATCTGCAGTAAATGACACAGTGTGAAATAGATTAAAGTATTCTTAAGATTATGTTAGACTAAGTTAATAAAAGTAATTGGAATATAATTTGCAGGTATTTTAATGGTATAAGTAAACAACAGTTATTTTTGTTCATTAATAATTTATTATCATTGAATTGTATACCAGAAACCCTGATCTAAAGTGAACTTAATCAGCTCAGTATATATATGCACACACCATTATATTGAATACTAAAAATATTCAATATAAATAATATTAAGTATTATAATGACACTAAAGTTAGGGATCTTAAAGACACCTCCCTATTTGAGTGGGAACTTGTTTTTTAGCTCACCTGAGCCAAAGGCTCAAGTGAGCTTTTCTGATCGAAATTTGTCCGTTGTCTGTCATCGTTGTTGTCGTTGGCGTTGTAAACTTTTCACAATTTCATCTTCTTCTCCAGAACTACTGGGTCAATTTCAATCAAACTTGGCACAAAGTATCCTTGGGTGAAGGGGATTCAAGTTTATTCAAATGAAGGGCCACGCCCTCCTTCAAGGGGAGATAATTTCAAAATAGCAAAAAATTAATGGCATTATAGAAAAATCTTCTCCTCAAGAACCAATGGGCCAGGAAAGATGAAACTCGTGGAATTATTGTCAGGGAGTGTAGATTCAAGTTTGTTTAAATCATGACCCCTGGGGGTAGGGTGGGGCCACAATGGACGATCAAAGATTTATATAGGAATATATAGGAAAAATCTTCAAAATCTTCTTCTCAAGAACAGCAAAGCTATGATTGGTCATATTTATATGGAAGCATCCTCAGGTGGTGTAGATTCAAACTTCTTCAAATCATGACTCCCAGGGGTTGGGTGAGGCCACAATGGACGATCAAAGTTTAACATAGGTGTATATAGGAAAAATCTTCAAAAATCTTCTTCTCAAGAACAGCAAAGCTATGATTGATCATATTTATGTGGAAGCATCCTCAGGTGGTGTAGATTCAAGTTTGTTCAAATCGAGACCCCCGGGGGTAGAGTGGGGACACAATGAACGATCAAAGTTTTACATAGGAATATATAGGAAAAATCTTCTCAAGAACAGCAAAGCCACTGTTTGTCATATTTATATGGAAGCATCCTCAGATAGTGTAGATTCAAGTTTGTTCAAATCATGACCTCCAGGGGTAGGGTGGGGCCACAATCGAAGTTCAAACTTGTAGAGAAAAATGTAACAGTCAAAAAATTATGTAAGCATCCTTAGTAAGTGTAGATTTAATTTTGTTCAAATCATACCCCCCCCCCCCCCACTCCCTTTATGGGGTAGGTTGGCACCACTTATGCATTTAAGCTTCTCAATACTAAAATGATTTTTTTTTCTTTTTTCCTAGCCACAGTGCTCAGGTGAGCGATGTGGCCCCTGGGCCTCTTGTTGTAGAGTACTCCGACAATTGTGGATCAATTATTGATCTCACAGAAATGTGCATGGTACATGTACCTGGATTTTGATTTTCAATTATTTATGAGAGGGATATCAGGTGACGAACTTGGTCAATTTCATGCCAAATGTCGATTTCAGTGTTCATCATTTGTCCATATGTCTACTCCTACAGTGTTCAAGATAAGACGTTTTTGTTTTGCTGATGAATTGTTCATACATCAGTGATGTACAAGGTAGTTGGGGTTTGATTTCAGATCCTTTGTAGGGAAAATGACAGTTGTTGAACTGTCATTTTAATGTACAATATAGCTTTTACATCGTTTGTCAGGATAACCACTCCAATAGTTTTCAAAATCTGAAGGTATTTTTTGCTTTGTAGATGAGATTAAACTTGCATTAGAGATGTACATGGTGCTTTGATTTTGATTTTAGATCATTTATGGGGAAAATAGCGGTTGTTGAACTTAATAATTTTTTGTGCAAAATGGTGCTTGTTTTGGTACATCATTTGCCAGGATAATCCCTCCAACAGTTTTCAAAGTAAGAAGTTTGTTCTGCAGACGAATCGTACATAATTATAAAAGAGATATGTTAAGTACATTGATTTTGATTTTTGGTCAATGACAGGGAAAATACTAGATAATGAGCTTGATCTATTTTCTGCAGAATTCTGCTGATAGGGTACTGCTTCCTACAGTTTTTAAGATAGGAAGTTTTGATTGTGCAAATCCGTTGTACATATGTAAGAGAGTGGCTAAGTGTTTGGATCTTGTTTTGGATCGTTTATGACAAGAATACCGCGACTCTAGAGCAGACGCTCTAACCACTGCACCACGCGGGCGACCAAATCAATTGTAAATATGTAAAAGAGTGGTTAAGTGTATAGACTTTGTTTTGGATCATTTATGACTAAAATACATGTTGTTGGTATTTGTAATTTTTATGTCAACTGTTGCATATAGGGTTCATTATATTTGTCCACATAGCTCCAACAGTTCTAAAAATAAGAAGTTTTTCCCAAATGATGTGCATGGCACCTTGATTTGGATTTTGGTCAGTTATGAAAAAGATATAAGCTGTTGAACTTAGTCAATTTGATGCAACATATTACTTTTAGGGTACATCATATCTGCAGATAATTCCTCCTTCATTTTCATGTTAAACATTAGTTAAAAGGGACATAATTTTTGCAGGGTACTCCTACAATTGTAGATCAATTATTTATTCCTCAGAAATGGTATGGTACCTGGATTTTGATTTTTGATAATTTAGGAGAGGGTATATTAACTGACGAACTTTGTCAATTTTATGCACAATATCGATTACAGTGTTCATCATTTATTCATATATATACTCCTACAGTGTTCAAGATTAGACGATTTAGTTTGCAGATAAATTGTACATACATCAGTGATGTTCAATATAGTTGGGTTTTGATTAAGATCATTTATAGGGAAAATAACAGTTGTTGAACTAAGTCATTTTAATGTACAATATAGCTCTTACATCGTTTGTCAGGAAAACCACTCCAACAGTTTTCATAATCTGAAGGTATTTCTTGCTTTGCAGATGAGGTTAAACTTGCATTAGAGATGTACATTGTGCTTTGATTTTGATTTTACATCATATATGGGGAAAATTGCGGTTGTTGAACGTTATCAGTCTTTGTGCAGAATTTTGCTTTTTGTACATTATTTACCTGGATAGTTTTCAAAGTAAGAAGTTTGTTCTGCAGACGAAGTGTACGTAATTATATAAGATATGTTTAGTACATTGATTTTGATTTTTGGTCAATGACAGGGAAAATACTAGATGATGGGCCTGGTAAATTTTATGTAAAATTTTGCTTATAGGATACTGCTTCCTATAGTTCTTAAGATAGGAAGTTTTGATTGTGCAAATCAATTGTAAATATGTAAGAGAGTGGCTAAGTGTTTGGACTTTGTTTTGGATCATTTATGACTAAGATACCAGTTGTTGGTATTCGTGATTTTTATGCCAACTCTTGCATTTAGGGTTTTTTTTTTATATTTGTCCACATAGCTCCTACAGTTCTAAAAATAAGTTTTTCCCAAATATTTTTACATTATAGATGTGCGTGGCACCTTGATTTGGTTTTTGGTCAGTTATGAAAAAGATACAAGCTGTTGAACTTCGTCAATTTTATGCAACATACTACTTGTAGGGTGCATCATATCTGCAGACAATTCCTCCTTCAGTTTTCTTCAAAAAGAAATCCCATGAAAGGGAATAAAGGTTTTTAATTTATCAAGTCAAATGAACATACAATAGAGATGAACATATAACTGGGATTTTGATTTTTGATCAAGGATAAGAATATACCAGTTGCTTAATTTAGTCATTTAATGTGTTATGTTGTTTACAAGAGTTCATGATTTTTCTAGATAACTCCTTCAACTGTTTTTAAGATATCATTTTTTTAATTTTGCAGATCAAAGAAAAGTACACCAGAAATAAATTTGATGATTAGACTTTGATTTTTGATCATCTATGAAGGTACCAGAACATGTTCATTTTTATGCAAAAACTTGGATAAAAGGGGCATCATTTTTGCAGAGTACAATTGTGGATCAATTATTTACCCCTTTGAAATTTTATGCACAATAGCAATTACAGTGTTCATCATTTGTCCATATGTCTACTCCTACCGTGTTCAAGATAAGATGTTTTTGTTTTGCTGAAGAATTGTACATACATCAATGATGTACAAGGTAGTTGGGTTTTGATTTAAGATCATTTATAGGGGAAATAGCGGTGCTTGATCATTTTTGATGCAAAATATTCTATGTTTGGTACATCATTTGCCTAGATAATCTCTCCAACAGTTTCAATGTTAGAAGTTTGTTTTGGAGACAAATTGTAAAAATTATATAAGAGATATGTTTAGTGCATTGATTTTGGTTTTTGGTGATTGACGGGGAAAATACCAGATGTTGAGCCTGGTCAATTTTATGCAAAATTTTGCTCATAAGGTACTGCTCCCTACAGTTTTTAAGATAGGAAGTTTTTATTGTGCAAATTTATTGGACATATGTAAGAGAGTGGCTAAGTGTTTGGACTTTGTTTTGGATCATATATGACAAAAATTACTAGTTGTTGGTATTCTTGATATTTATGCCATGTTTTACATAGAGGGTTCATTATTTATCATGATAGCTCCTATATATAAGATCTTTTTTTCAAATATTCATGCACCAGAGATATTCATTGCACCATTGTTTTTTGTGTTTGGTCATTGAGAAAAATACAAGCTGTTGAACGTGGTCAAAATATTGATATTGCATTTAGGGTACATCATTTCTGCTGATAATTCCTCTTTCATTTTTCTGCCAAAAAAAGTCCACATGATAGGGAATATATCTTTTTTTTATTTTTAAATCAAATAAACATACAATGGAGATGAACATGGTACTTGAATTTTGTTTTTGATCATTATATAAGAGAAATAGCAGTTTTTAAATTTAGTTAATTAACTTTTTTAAGATATTATTTATTTGTAGATCAAAGAGACGAACAAGGTGCTTTGACTTTGATCGTCTATGTGAGAGGTACCAGTTGTTGTACTTATTCATTTTTATGCAAAATATTGCATCATTTGTAGTGATAACTTCTGCAACAGTTTTCAAGAGAAGAGGTTTTTGTTTAGCAGATCAATTCTACATACATGAAAGATGTACATTGAAATTAGATATTCATATTAGATCATTTATAGGGAAAATAACAGTTTTTGAACTAGGTTATTTATATGCAGAATATTTGATATATCATTTTTCAGGATTTTTAAATCAATTTCTCTTTTGCAGTTTGATTTTGGGAAGTTATTAAGAAAAAATGCTTTTGAAGTAACATGGGTAAAAGACGAATTTTATAAAATACAATGGAGAGGCATTTCCCAAAATGATCACCAAGGATAACTTATGTGATTATTGACCTGAAAACGATGATGCTCTTAAATTTAATACTCTGCAACACAATTGTATACTTATTGCTTTATCACTTGGTCAGTCACTGTGAGGGACTTAAAGCAGTTACCATTGCTCATTATTCGTGTAAACCAAAGAAACTGAGAGGGACATTTCGTGCATCTACGATCAGGATACGACAGTTGCTGCTTGCAACCGGCATTGCTGATTATTTACAGACAAGAGCAGCAGGAGTTCGAGCTGAAACAAACCACAATTGCCTCTGACTACCACATGGGGGAAGAACTAGACACCCAAATGTTGTTATTTTTCATAAAACTGTGAATGTGGAATAAATTGCTCGTCATACAATACAAAATAAAGTTCTTGTTGTTCAGTATAATATTTCTTATTTTTGATGTAATATTCCTAAATAGTTTTCTGCTTTTGAATTAAAAAAAATCTTCTGAATACTACATTGGGAAGGCACTAGAACTAAAATTTTGTTATTTTTAGAAAGGTTTAAAAATGGACCAAATTGCTCATCATACAAACTTTTTGGAATATGGGCTTTATCTCTAGAACTTCTTGGCCAATTTTTGTCAAATTTGTATCAGAGTATCCTTGGCCCAAGGACTTTCATTTATATTTAAAATAGGGATATAACCCTTTAAAAAGGGGAAAGAATTAGGGGAAAAAAACAAATATGGTGGTTGCTTATATATTCTTTTAAGAACCTCTGGGCAGATTATCACCAAACTTACACAGGATAAGGAGGTGTTGTAGATTAAAAATTGTTCAAGACATCACCCTGCGCAAAGGGCGTGGTCTCAAGGTATAATGAAAGTAGACCTAAGTAAATTGATAAATTGTTAAAACTTTTAATAAATTTTGACCACCATAATGACTAGGATAATCAAATCTTGTAAGTTGACGCATCTTAGGACCTCATGTCATGCTGACTCAAAAGTAGGTCATGGTAACTTAGTTTTAAAATTTAGCATGTATTTATTTTCAAATTGATTTTATATATACCTTTGACACTTTGAAGCCGATGATCATCAAAACTTGTCAGTATATGCATCATGGGGACCATGAAGAGAGTCAACCAGAAATTATGTCACTGTTACCGACTATCTGAAGTGTATACCTAATCATTTTAAAACAATTTAGTTTATTATTTCCGATACTGAGGGGTTTAGAATCATTAACCCTTTAAAGTGATGCATCATGGGGCCTTGAAACTTATTTATAAAAAAGTAGGTCAGGTTGACCTACTTCTTGAATTTTGCAGAGATTCACTTTCATATGGTATTAGATTTATATTTTGGACATTGTGAAGCCTAGGATTATTCAACATTGTCAGTTGATAAATCCTAAGGTCTCGAGTTGTATTAACCAAAAAAAAATAGGTAGCAGTTTTTGGGATATCATGGCTGTATTAAATATTTCAGATTTTTAGTGGCTTAGAATCATCAGACTTCGTCAGTTGACATATTTAGGGTCTTCAGAGTTTGCAAACTGAAAAGTAAGTCACTTTGATCTTTTTTTTTAATATATATATTTTTTGGCCATATCTAAATATTTCAAATAATGAAAGTGAATAAATGAATATAATCAGTGGGCTTTGATTTACATCTGTCATTGGAGTATTACTTTCATTTGTAAATGTTTAAATATGATTTGTTGAGGAAGAGTATGATAAAGAATGATAAATGCATCTTTGTTATTGTGTTCTTCGCGTTTCATGTAATCCATTCGATGTATTAAATTTAAATTAAATCAGCTGGAGTCTAAAGATATAATTTGAAGAGGATTTGATATGGGTAATGATATTCAAACAAACAGAAATACGGAATAAGTAAGGAGCTGGGAGATCATTTTCCGAGAGAAAACTTAGATATTACACCATGTATAAAATCATTTAATCTGTCAGGATACATATCTTTCCTTGGAGATTTGCGCTTTATTTGTTAATGTTCAAACAAACAGAAATATGGAATAGGTAGGGGGCTGAGGGATCATTTTCTGAGAGAAAACTCAGATGTACATGTGAATAAATGAAAAAGTTCATTGGACTTGTCACGGATTGATTCTTTTCTTGGAGTTTTATCTAATTAATTAATATTTAAAATAATTGGTTCAAAAATAAATTAAAACAAATAAATAACAAATTATTTTAAACTAAAATATTTTTAAAAATCCGGAAAAGGTGTACATCATGACATGTCTAATAATCTTATACATTTATTTACATACAGATTTTTATCCATGGAAAAATGTGTTCAACCCACTCCTTATTCCCTACTTCTGTTTGCTTGAATTTCATATTCCACACGTCACATTCCCTTTTTTTTATTCTAAATTTTAAAATAATTAGTTCATAAATAGTGTTACAGCTTGATATTTTCATATGAACAAATTGTTTTATACTAAAACATTGAAAAACGTTCCTGAAATGATGTACTTCATGATAAATCTTATAAGCTTACCCATGTATTCATACACACAAAACTTTTTTCAGGGTAAAAGATGTTCCACCCACTTCGCAGTCTGTATTTCTGTTTGTATGAATTTCATTTTCCATAATAATGTGGGAGGGTGGTATTGTTATCTAGTTGTTATATGTTATGCGTATTTAATGAATTTTATTACATTCAATGGAATTAAAAGTGATTTTGTATCTAAATATACTATTTCAAAAGAATTTGATTTATGGGCAATGAAATTAAAAGAAAAGACAAATAGAAATACGGATTCAGTAGGGTGCAGGGAGTTCATTTTCTGAGAGAAAACTTAAATGTACATGTGAATAAATGAATATAATCAGTGGGCTTTGATTTACATCTGTCATTGGAGTATTACTTTCATTTGTAAATGTTTAAATATGATTTGTTGAGGAAGAGTATGATAAAGAATGATAAATGCATCTTTGTTATTGTGTTCTTCGCGTTTCATGTAATCCATTCGATGTATTAAATTTAAATTAAATCAGCTGGAGTCTAAAGATATTATTTGAAGAGGATTTGATATGGGTAATGATATTCAAACAAACAGAAATACGGAATAAGTAAGGAGCTGGGAGATCATTTTCCGAGAGAAAACTTAGATATTACACCATGTATAAAATCATTTGATCTGTCAGGATACATATCTTTCCTTGGAGATTTGCGCTTTATTTGTTAATGTTCAAACAAACAGAAATATGGAATAGGTAGGGCGCTGAGGGATCATTTTCTGAGAGGAAACTCAGATGTACATGTGAATAAATGAAAAAGTTCATTGGACTTGTCACGGATTGATTCATTTCTTGGAGTTTTATCTAATTAATTAATTTTTAAAATAATTGGTTCAAAAATAAAATAAAACAAATAAATAACAAATTATTTTAAACTAAAATATTTTTAAAAATCCGGAAAAGGTGTACATCATGACATGTCTAATAATCTTATACATTTATTTACATACAGATTTTTATCCATGGAAAAATGTGTTCAACCCACTCCTTATTCCCTACTTCTGTTTGCTTGAATTTCATATTCCACACGTCACATTCCCTTTTTTTTATTCTAAATTTTAAAATAATTAGTTCATAAATAGTGTTACAGCTTGATATTTTCATATGAACAAATTGTTTTATACTAAAACATTGAAAAACGTTCCTGAAATGATGTACTTCATGATAAATCTTATAAGCTTACCCATGTATTCATACACACAAAACTTTTTTCAGGGTAAAAGATGTTCCACCCACTTCGCAGTCTGTATTTCTGTTTGTATGAATTTCATTTTCCATAATAATGTGGGAGGGTGGTATTGTTATCTAGTTGTTATATGTTATGCGTATTTAATGAATTTTATTACATTCAATGGAATTAAAAGTGATTTTGTATCTAAATATACTATTTCAAAAGAAGTTGATTAATGGGCAATGAAATTAAAAGAAAAGACAAATAGAAATACGAATTCATAAAAATCATATACATGTATTTACATACAGATTTTTATCCATGGTAAAATATGTTCAACCCACTCCTTATTCCCTACTTCTGTTTGCTTGAATTTCATATTCCACGCATCACATTCTTTTTTTTCAATTCTAAATTTTAAAATAATTTGTTCATAAATAGTGTTACAGCTTGATATTGTCATATGTTTGTTTAAACTTCATTTTCCATGCATCACATTTTTTTTTCGCTTCTAAATTTTAAAAGATATGTTCATCAATAAAATTTGAGGGAGATTCTAGTTGAAAAGTATTTGATTCGTGGGCAATGAAATTAAAAGAAAAAAAAAACACAGAAATCTGCAAGAAGAGGAGGACTTTGAGAAAAGTTACTTGTAGATTAATGTGTAATATTTTTGCTTTATCATGATTTTGATCTTGTTCTGGATTTAAGTCTTTATTTTTCAATTTTTTAAATAATTTGTATATGAAAGATAAAAGAGGATGTAGTTTTTAGGTTCTGTTAGCTGAAGTATTGCTTTTCATTTGTGAGTGTTCAAACAAACTGAAATTTAGAATCAGTCAGGTGTAGGGGGTTCATTTTCTGAGAATAATGAATACATCGTTGTTATTGTGTTCTATGCGTTTCCTGTATTCCATTCGATATTTTAAATTAAATTCAAATCAGTTGGTGTCTAAAGATATTATTTCAAGAGAATTTGATATGGGTAATGATATTCAAACAAACAGAAATACGGAACAAGGAGGGAGCTTGGAGATCATTTTCCCCAGAGAAAAATTAGATATAACTCCATGTATACAATCATTTGAGATGTCAGGATACATATCTTTCCTTGGAGATTGCTTTATTTTTGTTAATGTTCAAACAAACAGAAATACGGAATAGGTGAGCGCTGGGGGTTATTTTCTGAGAGAAAACTTAGATGTACATGTGAAAAAATGAATATAATCAGTGGGCTTTGATTTACATCTGTCATTGGAGTATTGCTTTCATTTATAAATTTTAAAATATCATTTGTTGAGGAATAACATGAGAAAGAATGATGAATACATCTTTGTTATTGTGTTCTACGCGTTTCATGTATTCCATTTGCAGATTTATCCGTTTCTTATTTCACTTCTCTTTCCCATAGATCAAGAAGTTTGGCTTTTATATCTGCTTTAGTTTTCTCTGAAAGAAGATGGGGGAACAAGGCGGGCAGATTGCCTATAGCGTCGGATATTAAGAAATCATATTCAAGATGTAAATTGAGTATTTAAATTAACTTCTCATTATTTAAATTTATGAAATTATGAGAAAAAAAAAACTTTTCCGAGAGAAAATAATCTCGTAGAAAATTTTTCTTTTATAATGGAGCGAAGGCCCACTCATATTGAAAAATTTTGTTAAAGCACGAGAAAATGATCGTTTTAGTTCTTTTTTGTGTATATGATTCTTCAGAGGCATAAAGTTGACAACAGACAGACAGACAAACAGATAAACAGACAAACAGACAGGACAAGAACAATATACGCCTCGGATCTATCGATCCGGGCTCATAAAAAACTATATATTTGAAAAATATTCATATTGGAGTTTTTGATGAAGAAATACTATAGTTGCACAAAGCTTTTGTAGTTCAATGGTAGAATACTTTCTTTTGACAGAAGGAGGTCTAAGTTCGAATCTTGGCAAAAACCGCAACTTGGTAGAAAATTGGATCAAACTTCAATTTTTCAAATTTTTAGCAAATAATTATTATATATGCTTTATTTTTTTCTTATGAAGTTAAATATGATTAGTCTATCCTGCTTATTGGTCGACGGGTTTACCCCTTTTCTTTTTTCTCCTTTTTTCCTTTCATTTCTCTTTTTTCCTTCTTTTTTCTTCTCCTTTCTTTTTTTTTTTTTTTCTTGGTTTGCAGGTGGGAGACTCAGGGTTGATGGTCTCAGGCATAATGGAACGCCATTAGATGTGAAAATCTCGCAGATACATACGAGAAATTGAGAAAAGGGGATGTTATTCTTCCATGGAAATTAAGGATTAAATCAATCGACCAGGAACAGAATGAAGAAACAAAAATTAGGTTAATTTTAGCCATCCAGAAATTCGACGTGGAAATAACTCTCCTACAAATTCACGTCCCGAAGTAACAAACCAAGTTTGAGGAATGTGATTTAAGAATGGAAAAAGAAAGAAGATGGGGGGATAAGGCGGGAAAAGTGCCTATAGGGGGACAGATAAGAAGTGAAAAAAATTATCTTAATTATATCCAAATTTTATTTGATATTTCATCTAATATTAAAGTATACTTAATGTAAAATCTCTACAATTTACAAAAATCTCACAAAGACTGAAAATATTTGCTTCTGAAGAATATTTTAATAGCTTTTCACACAAAAATAAATTAAAAATCTTATTTCATTTAAAAGTTATTAAAACTTCAAATTTTTCGGCGGGTTTGATTGACACATCCTTGCACTTTCACAAATTTTAACTTTATTCTTAATCCTTTGGAAAAGTGGCAATCTTGCTGTGTATTAATGAGAAATATTAAACTTTAATCCAGAAAAATAATTTTATTCAGAGTAGAAATGTTAGAAAGCAAAACTCCTTCACAAGTATCGTCATCCCGAGCTAAGTGTTGTGTACAGAGTTTAGCAAATCGATCACACTCGTGTTATGTACACAGTTTTTGTAAACAGGGCACGAGCTCTGTTATTGTTGATGTTTACGATTCACCGGGTGCGTTCAATCGTCACAGTCTGCTCACCACAACTGCACGGACCGACAATATATTGTGTGTTTGTTTTGCTTTCGAACATGTCTACTCTGAATTTTCTGGATTATAGTATTAATATTTTTCATTTATACACAACGAGATTGTCACTTTTCCTACCCATTAAGAGTAAAATTAAAATTTGTGAAAGTGCAAGGATGTGTCAATCAAATCCGCCAAAAAATTAAAAGTTTTAATAACTTTTAAATGAAATAAGATTTTTAATTAATTTTTGTGTGAAATGCCAATAAAATATATAAGTCGTAATATTATAGAGAGAATATTAACTTCAAATCTGTGTCCAAGTACCTTTAATGATTTATTTTTTCACTCATGTTTTTAAGATATGTGAAAACAAAAAAAAAAAGAAAAAGCTTCACGAATGATTCGAACTCTGTCAGTGTGATTTAAATGAACAGGTTCGTTGAAGCGTACATTTTTTCTTAAAAGTTCGATTTTCATATAGAATGGGTTCAGATAGATTTCACATTTACGTTTCTATCATTTAAACATTGACGAAAAATGAAGACTTGACCCATTCATGTTCAAAAATCATTTTTTTATGGCTTAAGTAAACCCATTTATGACTAAATATGCTTAACTGTCAACTTTGAAAAAAGATTGTCAAATGATAAGTCGTTCAGTTAAATATAACAATAAAATGTTTTGAAGATTACATTACCGAGAACATGATTTTAGAAAAATATATTTTTTTTCTGAATTTGAAAATCGAGAAACATATTGTCTCAGAGCGGGGGATTATCCACGCCTAATACGCCCTCTTTCTTTTCCTGTTTTTATAGAGTACTATAAAATATGACAGACACAAAGAATTTATATGAATACATTATAAAAATAATGTAGATATTCTCAAATTTCTATGGTTTAAATTTCAACAGCATGTCTTTATTACGTTTATCTTTAATAACATTTTTATTACCAATTTTGCATTCAAGTGCCTCAGAAGTTTTAATGTTCAAATTGATTATGTTTTAAATTTAATGTTAATGTAATTCTCTAACTAATGATTCACTGAAAAGAAAGATCTCAACTTACCACTACTGAAGTGTCTTCTTGTTAATGATAGGAAGCTGGACATCTTTTGACTCCATTGCTAAGTTGTTATTCACTTTGCCATCTCTTCTCTGGTCACTTGGGTAAGTCCAAAATAAAATTATTGTTTGTTTGGGATTGTCACACGCCTCTGTTAATACCCCCTGCTGAAAAATTTTAAGTGGGTTTGAGGATCACATAAATTTAACAACACGGGTCAGTAAAATGCTCTCTTCATAGTATTTATGATATAGTAGTTAGAAGGTCCTCGACAAAATGAAAGCCGCCAAAATGTCAGACCAAGCTGAATGTGAAAACGTACTAGTGTTGAAGAGACAAGCAATTATGTGTCTCCATAAATATGAATGGTGAATTAAAAACAAGAGGCCCAAGGGCCTTGAATCGCTCTTCTGATAAATTATACAATCTATCCTAAGACCCAAGATGCATCAACTGACAAAGTTTGATGATTCTTAGCCAGTTAGGGCTGAAGATATTTAAATGTAACTATAAAATACTATAAGTAGGTCATGGTGACCTACTTTTTGATTGAAATTTTCTGAGGACACAAGATGCATTAATTGACATAGATTGATGATTCTAAGTCAATAAGTACTTGAGATATTCAAAAGTGGGTCACAGTGACCTACTTTTTGGTCAACATTCTCCAAAATCCCAAGGTGCATAAACTCACAACGTTTGACAATTCTAAGCCAATAAGTACCCTAGAATACTTAAATATAGCCATAAATGTCACAAGTAGGTCACCGTGACCTATATTTTGATCATCATTCTCTGAGAACCCAAGATGCATCAAATAACAAAGTTTGATGATTTTAAACCAGTAAGTACCCGAAATACCTAAATATAGCCATAAAATGACAAAAGTAGGTCACTGTGACCTGCTTTTTGACCTACTTTTTGGTCGACATTCTCCGAAAACCCAAGATGCATCTACTTACAAAGTTTGATGATTCTAAGCCAATCAGTACCTGAGATATTCAAAAGTGGGTCACCGTGACCTACTTTTTGGTCAACATGCTCCGAAAACCTAAGATGCATCAAATGACAAAGTTTGATGATTCTAGACCAATTAGTACCTGAGATACATAAAACTAGCCATAAAATGTCAAAAATAGGTCACTGTGACCTACTTTTTGGTCGACATGCTTGCAAAACCCAAGATACATCGAATGACACAGTTTGATGATTCTAAGCCAAAAAGTACCTGAGAGACTAAAATATAGCCATAAAATATCAAAAGTAGGTCTCTGTGACCTACTTTTTGGTCGTTAATCTCCGAAAACCCAAGATGCATCAACTGACAAATTTTAATGATTCTATGCCAATTAGTACCCGAGATACTTAAATCTAGCCATAAAAATGTCTAAAGTAGGTCACAGTGACTTACTTTTTGGTCGACATTTTCTGAAGACCAAAGATGCATCAACTGACAAAATTTGATGATCATAGGTCTAATAGTATTCAAAATATGCCTTTTAAACAATTTGAAAACAAATGCCTGCAAAGTTCAAAAAGTAGGTCACAGTGACCTACTTTTTGATAAATATGTTTTAAGGCCTCTAGATGCATCAACTTGCAAGATTTGGTGATTCTAAAACTCTCGGTGTCTGAAATAATGGGATTAAATGTTTTAGAAAAGATTAGCCATAAAATTCAAAAAGTAGGTCACGATGACCTACTTTTAAGTTGATGTTATTTGTGGACCCAAGATGCACCAACTGACAAAGTTTTATGATCATAGGCCTTAAAGTGTCCAAAATATGCCTCCAATTCAATTTGAAAACAAAAGCCCGTAAAATTTAAAAAGTAGGTCACCGTGACCTACTTTTGTATTAACATGATGTCAAGTCCTGTGATGCATCAACTTACAAGATTTGATGATCCTAGTCTTTATAGTAAGCAAAATATCAACGTTTTTAATAAGTGTAAATTTTGGTCAACTTTGAAGTGACCTTGAGACCACGCCCTTTGCCCCAGGGTCATGCCGTGAACAATTTTCAATTTTCAACATATCCCGACCCTTGTATGTAAGTTTGGTGAAAATCTGCCTGGTGGTTCTGGAGAAGAAGATTTTTTAGCAACCAGTACTTTTGGTTTTATTTTCGTGATTATCTCCATTTGTTTTATGGTCCCACCCCTAATTTTAGTATAAATGGTAGCCCTTGGGCCAAGGATACCCTGTGACAAATTTGACAATAATTGGCCGAGGGGTTCTTGAGTTATGGCCCATATTCTAAAAAGTTAGCGCACGACGCACACCGCACAAATGGCCATAGCATTAGCTCTTTGAGCCTTTGGCTCAGAAGAGCTACTAAATGATATGATAAACAGTTTTAATAAACATAGGTTATCAAAGATTAGAAAGCTCTCCTCGACGAATGTTATCAGTATCAAGATTTGCAAAATCTCACATCATATTTTCTTAACAGTTAGTAATTATCCTGACAACAATATTCAAGCAAGTTCTGTTTAAATAGGTCTTAAAGTTCACTGGGGATTGACCTGTTCCAGAAACTAGGTCAGATCCACTGATCCAGCATCCGAAGCAAGTCTGGTAGTGTCCATCCCTAGATGCATCATCCATGCAAGTTTGGTCTGGGTAGGAATTATAGTTACTTGGCAATAGACCTGCTCTAAAACTTTACCTGGTCACTCATCTGGAAAATATAGGTCAGATCTAGCATCCGAAGCAAGTCTGGTAGTGCCCATCCCTAGATGCATCATCTATACAAGTTTGGTCCGGGTAGGCTTATACATGTAGTTACTTGGGAATGGACATGCTCCAAAAAGTTTAACCTGGTCACTCATCTGGAAAATGTAGGTCAGATCCAGCATCCGAAACAAGTCTGGTAGTGCCCATCCCTAGACGTCAAGTAAGAGTTATAATCTCCTTTAATATTACTGCAAACTCATAAGTTAAGATTAATAGCTATGCGTTAAAGAAATAAATATATTTTTTCCATATTTTACACAGGCCTTTTGATCGCTTAAAAAAATTGTGTATAAAAAACAAGAGGCCCATGGGCCTTATAGGTCACCTGTGCATCACGCAACAACTTTTAAACGATTGAATTTGGTTAATGTTTTAAACTAGACGTCATGGCATTCACAGTTTTGAAAGAGGCACCATTGCTTATCATATCTATACACTTAACATGTTTAGTTTGGTTACTTAATACCCAATGACAGAGTAGGGGAACAAAAAAATGCATTTCACAAATTTCACAATTGGAAAAGGCCGTTTGTTTATCAAAATGTTTGATTAATACCAAGGAGAACATTTCAAACAATTCATTTTTTGTATATAAGTAGAGCCCCCCCCCCCATATTACCCCTGACCGAGGGGCCTAGAAATTCACAATTCAGGAAGAATGGCCCTTGCTCATCATAGCTATATAGGTAGTTCATCTGCTAAATACCCAGGAGCAGAGAAGAAAATTTTCAAAGATTCAATGCATTTCCACTATACAATCAATAGAGCCCCATCCTAACACCAGAGCCCCTTACCCTGGGGTCATAAAATTCACAATTTTGAAGGAGGCATTCTTCCTCATCATAACTATGCATTTAGTTAGTTTATTTAATACCCAGGAGCAGAAAAGAAGATTTTTAAAGAAATAATGCATTTTAACTATATAATCAATAGAGCCCCGCCCTAGCACTAAAACCCCTGACCCTGGGGCCATGAATTCATAATTTTGGTAGAGGACTCAATGGTCATTACATTCATGCTAACAGTTTGACTGCTTGATGTCCAGGAGTAAAGAAGAAGATTTTTAAAGTTTGCATTAATTTTAAAGGTTTTGGCCCCACCCCTCAGGCCCCAGGGGGGCAGGGACCATGAAATTCACAATTTTTGTTCCCATTCACCCATAGATGCATTATGCCAAATTTGGTGGAAATTGGATGAGTGGTTGCAGAGAAGAAGCTAAAAATGTTCAAAAGTTTACGACCGATTGACGACGTACAACGAACGACGTACGACGACGGACTAAAACAGATAGCAATAGGTCACCTAAGTCATAAAGGTATGGAGCTCTTACACTGGGTACCCAATTTAACTAACAAAATATTTTTTATTCAAATGCTCTAAAATTCTACTTTCTATTTAAATCTATTCATAGATAAACATTCTTCATTTCTACCAAAGGTCATTCCGAAATTCCGTATATTTCTAGAGATATTCTGAAATCAATTTCAATAATGACCTACTTTCTTTTACTTGACATATTTTTTTATTGCCTTATAAAGTTTTAGGCTTGAATGCCTATATCTTTCTATCATTTTATATTCAGAAAGTTTGATTGGACTTTGGGAAGAATAAATCAATACTATAATATATAAATAAAAATTGAGGGTCACCTCTCCACATCTGCCAGGCTATAGGATCATTTCAAATGAAAACACCTCTCCATGGCAAAAAAGGCATGAGGATCTCCAATTTTTAGCTTTTAATTTTTCCAACCATTCTCATTTACTGAAGATTGAAAACTAAAATTCATGAAAGATATAAAAAATTCGAGGGTCACCTCTCCATATCTGCCAGGCTATAGGACCATTTAATTAAAATGAGGCCTGTGAGCCACATCGCTCACCTGAGAAACTTTGGCCATGCTGTTCTATAACAGATTTCCCCCCTTTGTAATACCAATTGTGACCAGGCCCTACCCCCAGGGGTCATGATTTGGACAATTTAAAATCTACAACCCCTAGATATTTTCATGTAAGTTTCAGCTTTCTTGGCCCAAATGGTTCTTGAGAAGAAAATTTTCAAAGATTTTTTCATATATGTTTCAATGTAAAACTTGGGATTCCCCATTATGGTCTGCCCTTCACCCAGGGGTCATGATTAGAACAATTTAGAATCTACATCATTCCAGGATCCTTCCACATAAGTTTCAGCTTTTCTGGCCCAGCGGTTCTTGAGAAGAAGATTTTTAAAGTTCTTCCTATATACTTCTATGTAAAATTTGGATTCCCTAAAGTGGCCCCGCCCTATACCCCCGGGGTCATGATTTGAACAATTTAGAATCTATTCTACCCCAGGATGCTTTCACATAAGTTTCAGCTTTTCTGGCCCAGTGGTTCTTGAGAAGAAGATTTTTAAATTTTTTTTCCTATATATTTCTATGTAAAACTTTCAACTTTTCTGGCCTAGTGGTTCTTGAAAAGAAGATTTTTTAATGACCCCACCCTATTTTTGTATTTTCTTGATTATCTCCCCTTGGAAGGGGACTTGGCCCTTAATGTTAACAATCTAAATTTCCCTTTACCCGAGAATGCTTTGTACCAAGTTTTGTTAAAATTGGCCCAGTAGTTCTTGAGAAGAAGTTGAAAATGTGAAAAGTTTACAGACGACGGACGGACAGCTGGACGAACGGACGACGGACAACTGGTGATCAGAAAAGCTCACTTGAGCTTACAGCTCAAGAATGCTAAAAAACCTATCCATAGCAAACAGGTGTGATGATCTATCATACATTCATAAAATTCAAAAATTTTATATAAATCTAATTTCAGAAAAACAAAAGCACTGTAAAATTTATATTTTAAAATTTTGCTTCCTTTTTCTATACAGTAGTATCTTAATATTTAGTCCATCATATATATGTATCTGCATATGAGTGAAAAAAGCATTAAAAAAGTCTGTAATTGCATTGTCTCAAGCCATGGTCCAGAGTCCGCATATATAGCTCTTTCCTACCCGTGGTTGCTTGATCACAAAAAATTTTAATAATCTTGAATATTTACGCCTCTCTATTGTGACGTCATTTTCAGTCAGTGGCAAGTTTTGTTTCCATCGCAATTGAAATCAACAACTGACGTTAACAGTATATACGAAATATTTTCTATACTGCGATTGGATACTGAAAGGTCGCGATAAAGTTCATCATCCGACTATGCCTCACTCGCATTAGTCAATATTTTAATGAGCTACGAAGAATTTTCTCGACTCCTCATTCAACCACGGCCAGAATGGGAGAGGATCGTACATTTTGGCCGTGGTTTGCAACGATGCTGTAATTGATGCCCCAACATTTCTTTCACTTAAATTACATATGATAATACTATTAATTAATTTCAGTTCAGATATTTTTTTACCAAACGAGTATGTAGTGTTACATTTTCATGGAAGTCTCTCTTTGTTCAATAGCTGCAACACGTTTTTTCAACATGGAATATTTCATAAAATGAACATACAATGGATCCGAGGTGAATGTTATCAAATTTTGATTATCTTTTGGATTTACTAGTTTTTGTGATAAAGTTGATAATGATTGTGATGATGTTGATCCGGGTGGTGATGAAGAAGACAAAGATCTTCTGGGGTGTTAAAATTCAACCCCCCCCCCAACCTCAGTAATTTTCAGTTCTCATCTGATATGTGCTTTTTCCTAGCCGATGTGCTCAGGTGAGCGGTGTGGCCCCTGGGCCTCTTGTTAAAGTATGATATGACTAGTATTAATAATGCCGTACTTTGGTACATAACTATCCAATACCACTATTATTGTGCCTGGTTTTACCAGAATGCCGTACTTTGGTACATAACTAACCAATACTACTATAATTGTGCCTGGTTTTACTCTTGAAATACACGAAAACCCATGAGTTTCCTTGGAAAACTGAAGTACACATACACAGTATATACTTTTACATACAGTCTAGGCGTTTATCCAAAGGAAGAGTGCTTAGTATATGCTTTTGAATATAGAGGGTAATTAATAATATTTAAATGCTATCAGGTAAAATTAAGCATTTAAAAATTATCTGAAGAAAAGTCCCAATTTGCCAACACTGAATTTACAGCTGTTTTAGGAATGTATTAAGATTTTGGATTCATTTAAAAAAATGAAGGAGCAGTGATTTGGTGAATTTTGTGTCATTGATGTAATTTAAAATTGCGTAAAAATGAATGCAAGTTTTTAGATTATATTTAAAATCTTAAAAAGCAAAGTGTAGGAATGCAAGGAAATACTCGCAATGATTCTTTGTGATTTTTTTTCTAATGCCTGTAGTTTTGACATTGTTTATCCATTAATATTTCCATTTCCAATTGTTTTCCCTATGATAAACACTACAAAAGTGAATCTTGTTTATTTCACCGTGATTCCTGTGACATGTAAATTTCTCTATTGAGATAATACTTGAAAGGTCAAATGTCAAACTTGCATATATATTAGCGGCGTATAAATACACTGAAAAGATGTTTTGTTTAATTGTTTACTAAGTAATTAGATATGATATATCTTTTACAAACAAAATAAATAATGAATTATCTTCGGATCAAAAGCAAGTCACTAGTGCAAAGCT